CTCAGTTTTCTTATCTTTCTCATGGGGATGTAAAGATTTAATGAGATTAAAAAATGGGTATGATATTAAAAAAATAACACTCACGTTAAAGTTCTCTTTCCTCATAAATGTCAAAGAATCTAAACTTTCCAGAAAACAGGTGAGAATGTCAACGTTTTAATGAAAGCCAATGCTGTGCACCATCTGACCAGAACCAACCCTTATCTAACACTCCAGCAGGTTTTCAGAAGCAGTAAGTCACGTGGGTGAAGATTTCCCATTCTTCTCCCACAAAGTAGCAAGTGGATTCAAGCCTTCAAGCCTTAGGGACTGCAGCACAGCTTCTTGCCTCTGGGCCACTAGTGCTCCATATGGAATCCAAAAGGAAGCTCATTGTAATTTAAAAAGACTGCAAACACTGTTGAATGGTATTCAGACCTAATTACCTCTCAGAGCATTAACACGATTTACTAATATGAATACAAGGCAGGAGACCTTTGAGAAATAAGGGAGAAAGGCAGAGAAGTGTAGGAGCAGGTAGAATGAGCTTGATTTTCATAAAGAGATGTGAGGTAGATTATGGAAGCAAGAAACTGATAAACATGGCATTAACCCAAATATCTCAGATGAGGTTAATTCTGAGAAAGATATGCTGGGAAAGGTGGAGGGTCAGAGAAAGAGAGCAAAACCCTCATCAAGATAGACTGACACTGTTAACAACCGGCTCAAGCATGTCAGAGAGCATGAGGATTGTTCAGGAGAAGGCAAGATGTAGGTCTGTTGTTTATAGGATCTCTTCATCTTACTTGGATTCACAACAGAGACCCTTGGCACTAGCAGTCAGGAAATCAAAAGACAAGTTGCTTTGGGGAAAAATATGCTGCCAAAGACCTCTCCAGAGTGCTAAACAGCAACAATATCAAAATATCTAAAGAATAAGGTGCATCTGATCCAAGCCATGGTCTTCTCAATTACTTACGATGCATCTGAAAGCTGGACAATGACTGGTTTAAAAAAAATCAGTGCCTTTTGAGTTGTGGTGCCAGAGAAGAATACTGAACAGCCCATGGACTGCTAAGAAAACAAACGGGTCTGTTCTGAAGAAAGTTAAACCAGGGTATTCCTTGGAGTTAAGAACAGTGAAACCCTATTCTTTGGGCATGTTGCCAGAAGGACCAGTCCTTGGAGAAGTACATCTGCTTGGAAAGGAAGAGAGTCAGCACAAAAAAGAAGATCATCAATGAGATGAATTGTCATAGTTACTGTGTCAGAGATTGTGAAGTTGTTTCAGGATAAGGCAAGGTTCAGAGCCATTGTTGATAGTGTTGCTGTGAGGCGTATTTGACTCAGCGACACATAACGACAACAATGATGAGTCAGTATCATCAACAACATAAGCATTTAGAAAAGGAAGTGCCCAGTGACAAAAGCACACATTAGATCAACAACCACAAAGCAGGCTACAAGGCTTTGTGTTTGACATAAAGCAATAGACTCTTTTTTGCTTCTGTCTTTTGTATCAAGAACAGAATTGCTAGGAAAACAAACAGGTTCATCCTAAAGACGGTGAAACCAGGCTGTTCCTTGAAGGCCAGGATTCTGAAGCTCCATCCGGCATACTTTAAGCATGTTGCAAGGAGGGACCAGTACTTGGAGAGGGACATCATGCTTGGGAGGGTGGAGGGACAGCGCGAGAGAAGAAGACCCTCAATGAGATGGATTGACTGGGGTAACAAGGTAGGTGTGTCAGAGACAATAAGGTTGTCCCAGGATAGAGGAGGGTTCAGAGCTGTTGTATATAGGGTAGCTATAAGTCACAGGCAACTTGAAGGCACATAACAACAACAAAATAGATAAAAGAAAATTATTATACAATTCAGGGAGCTCTGGTGGCCTAGTGGCAAGAAGCTGTGCTGCAGTCCCAAAGGTTTGATGCCAATAGCTGCTCCACGGGAAAAGGATTGGCAGTCCCTTCTTATGCGATTAATAGCCTCTGAAAACCCACTGAAGGGTCAGCTATGGGTTGGTTCCAATTCTATGGTATACAACAACAGTGTACAATTCTACTAATGAGAGAAGTCTTCATGTGGGACACACATGAAGCTACTAACTGAAAGGCTGACAGCTCAAGCTTACCTTAACACTAACTTGGTTATTGAATGCTGCTGTAGAGGAAGACCCCGGAGGAGACAGATTGATAACTAGGTCAATGAGGGTAGGTGAGTCCGAGTCAGTGAGACTGGCTCAGGACAGGGCAGGCTTCAGAGCTATTGTACATAGGGTCACTATGAGTCACAGGTGACACAAGGCACATAACAACAACCATAAACTAAATAACACAAGTGGATGTCTTTTTGGAACAGATAAGGCAACGACTTATTTAAAAGGAATATATTATTAGGCATTATTTGCACGACAACAGTCTAGAATAAGAATAAAAGGTGCATAGCTAAGTGGACTAGGGAGGAGGAAATTGTGCAACAACAAATGGATGGAAATCCAAGTTGTCTGTAAACTTTCATTAAAATCACAATTTAAAAATTAAAAAAAAACCAACACAAAACCCTCAAACACCAACACCACCAAAACCAGACACTTCTTTTCTTACAGATTAGAGGCTAGAAGTCTGGCTCCAGGGTGTGGTTTCTAGCCACGGCTTTCTCTCTTTGGAGGCTCTGGAGGAGGGTCCTGGTCTGTTTGAGCTTCTGTTCCTGAGAGATCTTCGCGTGGCTTGGCACCACTCTTCTCCCATCTCCGTGAGCTCATTTGCTTAACTGCTTTTATGTCTCAGAAGAGTTTGCTCAAGACACATTCTACACCAATCTTGTTTCATCAGTATCACAAAACAATCTATTCCAAATGGGATTATAACCATAGATATAGAGGTTAGGAATGATAATACATATTTCATGAGACATAATTCAATCCATAATGAGCACCTTCAAAGAAAGGCCTATTAGTCTATTTCTAAGAGGCCACAACCATAGAAGCCCTTTACAAAAGGTTCCTATACAGAAAGAATCAGACTAGTATGGCTTCTAGGGAGAGGAAAAGATGGGTGTAGAAAATTAATTCATGGATAATAAATACGTATTAATATGAGGGTAGCAAGTTCTATTGGTCTCATGGCAAGGCACTGCACTGCCAACTCAAAGGCACATTGTTCAAATCCACCAGCTCCTTGTCAGGAGAAAGATAGGCAATCAACTCCCTTGTGATTTACTGCCTCTGAAAACCCTCTAGAGTTAGTTGTGACCACATAACAACAATAATACTGGTTGTCGAGAAACACAATAAAGAATGAATAGATAGTCACTGTGAGTAATGTAATTAACACCGTGGGATAAAATATACATGAATAATTGGTTATAAAAACCATATGCTCTGTAAGCTTTCACTCAAATCACAACAAATACATTTTTTTTAAAAACCTACTGGTAGATGGTAGTTTTACTCAGAAACACACAGGGTCACCAGGAATTGGAATTTTGCTTATTTAATTTTGCTTATTTGCTCCCTTGAAGAATGCTAGCTAAATATTTGTAGAAATAGAATGAAATGATCAGGAAATGAAAGGGCTGAAAACCATAAAGGAAAGTGGAAACCTTAGTGAGAAAACAAGAGTATTTGTACAGAGGACAGGAGAGCCACCTTACAATACTAGCCAAACCATCCTGTGAAGGAAAAGCCAGGCAAATCCTCCAAGTGCAACTGATTTCAGAAGAGAGAACCAAGACCCGTCCCCAGGTGGACAGCAACTAACCCTGGACTCAGAAAACAAGATTTTAGAACCCTTACTAGTTTAAAACAGAATGACCTGATCAATGTGGTGATAAAGAACTTCCTGGGTGGTGCAAATGGGCTGCAATCACCTGCTCACGTAGTGTTGGCACCCACTCTCAAAGGACCTCTGGAAAACTGGTTCAAGGTCACCCAATAGAATCTTGAAAGAAAGGCTTGGCTCTCCATTTTCATAAAAGCTACAACCAAGAAAACTTTTTGGAGGACACTTATTTCTGTAACACATAGTAATTCCACGATTCCTAATCCTACACCAGGGCAGGAGGTTTGGATTTTTGTTTGGTGTGGTGGTGAGCTGCCACTGCACAGTTAGGTGGTTCAGTCAGACAAAGCACATGTATATTGTTGTTGCTGTTAGGTGTCTCGAGTAAAGTACGACTCATAGTGACCCTACGAACAACAGATCTGAGTCCTGTCCTATCCTGTGCCATCCTCACAGTGACACACCAGAGCCCGTTGTGGCAGTCACTGTGTCAATCCACCTGGTCAAAGGTCTTCCTCTCCATCGCCATTCCTTACATACAGATTTGTAAACTGTCAGAGGAGGGTTTCTGACTTTTTTTTCTAGAATACATATATTAACATGTGGTTTGTTACCTTATGCACATTTATGATCCTACTGAGAATGACAGCATGGCATAATGGTTGAAAGGTCAAGCCTGCATTTCAGTTTTGCCACTAACTTGCTGTGTGACCTTACTTAGCTATTCACCCTGGACCACAGTTTCTTCTTCTACAAAAAGGGATGATGATGTAAACATCTACATCCTGGGGTTTCTGTGAGGGGGGAAAGAAACCAAGCCGATGCAGAAGCAGCACTCAAAACATATAATACATAGGAAGTGGGAAGTAAAGGCAGAAATTCATTGTCATTGTTCTGCAAACATTGTAGTCATCCTGATGACTCCTCATCAGCAGTGCTGGGCACAGTGTGGCGTTAACCTGAGCAGACAGGAAAATGTCACTGGAAGATGTGGAGGGTGACTTACACCTTCCTGGACAAGGCTCCTCTGGCTAACTCCAAAAGTACGGAAAGTAGCACTGCATATAAAACAAGAGGGAACAGTTGAGATTCTTCTCTTGTTTCATAAACTCTTAGTTTCTCAAGCTGGCAGTCCTGACCGATCAACACCCAATTATAACCACCACAAGTGTCCTTTTCACATGCAAGCTGTGACTAGGCACGGTTCAGGATACAGATCCTGGATCTAGGGAGCAGCCTCCCCGGGGGTGGGTGCCACCTTCTCGGGCTCTTCTCCTAGATCCACAATCCGGATAGTGTTTTCCTTCTTGGAGAGCCAAAAGGCGGCGTAGACAGGCTCAGAAAAATTGCATTCGAACTTGTGCACCAGCGTCATGGTGCCCGGCTCCACGCCATAGAAGGAGAGGGTCTTTCCCGGGAAGTCGATGTAGATCCCTAGTCTCCGGAAAGGGCTCGCTTTGAGCGGGTTCTCTGTGTCGCTGTGCCAGGCTCGGAACTCCTTTCCGTTCCAGTGGAGGCTCCAGGAGAAGTTGTTTCCGGAAATGCAGCTGTTGCGTCCCTCCCCTTTCCTATCTATGCCTTTATAGGTCAGTCCAACGTAGGTCCCTGGTCCGGAGATTTCGACTTCAAAATAGTAGCGATGCAAGTACAGGCTCTGTTGGGACAACACCTGCCGCCAGTGCACGAACCTGCCGGGGTGCTCTGGGTAAGGGTGCTCCCAGGGCGTGGTGTTGGTGACCTTGCGGTTGTCCTCCTGGAGCCGGAGGTACCTGTGAGCAGTGTCCGGGTCAAACGTGATATTATAGGCATCTGAGGAGAAACAGAAGACAGGGACAATGGTTCAGGAACTGGCAGCTAAATCACAGAAAACACTAGAAGCCCAAGTAGCCTTTAAAGTGTGATAAGACATCCATCCACTCCTTCCTTATTTACTTAGACTGCTGTGTCTTGTCTAAAAGAAAAGGGTTGAAATACAAAGCGGAGAGCAAAGGCCACTCGTTTTTTTCTGAGCTCAAAGGGTCTGACATTAATTATATGATGGGATAAAAAATATTCACTAATTCACTCATTCAGCCATTCTTCCAACAAATATATCTCAAAGGTCAGGCACTTTTCTACTCAGTAAAGGCAGGGCTTTGGGAGAACACTAACATTTGGTTGATTCACTCATTTAAAGAAGAAAAAAAAAAGACTTGGTCAATATTTAGCATGGTCAACTCTGGAACATTCCCTGAAACACACTTCTCTTCCCTTTTCCCCCTCTCAGAGAATAGCACTCCACCATTCCAAAGAAGAAAGTCCATTTTTTACATTCTTTTTGCTCTCATCATCACTCTCCCCTCTCCCCAGAGAGACTTATGTTATTGTTATATACCATGAAGCTGGAACCAACTAATAACTGACCCTCAAATGGGTTTCAGGGGCAGTAAATCTCGAGGGTGGAGACTGTCCACTTTTTCCTGAGAAGCAGCTGGTGAATTTGCACATAGTCCCTTGTGTTGATAGTGTAACTCCTTACCATGAAGCTATCAGACCTCCATAGAGATATAAAAGCTGCAGAAAATCTCGTCAATCCTGCTAACTCCTTCCCAAGCCATTTCGTTTCACCCCATGTGAGTCCTTACCAGATCTCACCAGACCAGAGCAATCAGCTCCAGACTGGCCTCACTCTATTTGTCTATCATCTATTAATACACTTATCCAACTCTCATCACTTCAGTACATTCTCCATGACAGACCCATAAGTGCTTGTTCTAAGGTAATTCAAGTCACCCCAACTTAAAACCTCCACTCTAAGAATAAAGCTGCCATCTTTCACCCTGGTCTCCAAGGCTCTGCAGGTTTGGCCTGTCCCTTGCCTCCAGCCTCAACCCCCTTTGGCCTCCACACTGCAGTCAGTCACCCTGACCACAGACCTAGTCAGCACTGTAGGCAGTTACTGGCTTTAGCACAGACTATTCCATTCCTGAGGGAGCTGTGGTAGCATAGCCCACAGGGAGTCACAGTGCTAACCCACCTTCGGTGATTAGAATCCACCAGACATTCCATGGGAGAAATATGAATATCCTTCTGTGAGATCTGATGTCTTTTCAGCCCACTAGAGATGCACCTCTGTGTATGTTTGACTCAATGGGAGAAAAAATTCCATCCGCTGATTATTCTTTGTCTACGTGATTGTTGTTTAACTTTCAATGGGGACATGTCTCTCTATGATTCTGTCATCTGAATCATAACCTTCTCAGGGCACTCTTGAGTTTTTGAAGCTTTTAGGTATTAGGGGAGCTCTGGTGGCTTAGTGGTTAGGAATTGCCCTGCTAATGCAAAAGCACATGGTTCTAATCTACCAGCTGCTCTGCAGGAGAAGATATGTAATTATTTGTGTGTTTGTTTAATGTTGATTTTCCTTCTAATCTGTGAGCTATACATTTTGTATGGAATTCTATTCTGGAGTCGTAACAGAGGAGATAGTCAAATAAAAATGCTAAATTGTGAGGTAGAGAATTAATTACTCTACCTTTATCACAAATAATTCAGCACTTGTCCTTGGTTTCTCAGAGTTAACACTAAAATCTTAGGATTCCCTGAGTAACTGAGGTCCCTTTGTTATATATACTTTTAGCCCTTACCTGGGAGTTTGTGCTAATGGGTAGAGGCTGGCCTGGTCAGAAAGGTCACATCCAGTGTTTGTCCCATAACAGCTGACCTCACTGGAGGGAGGAGGTCTGATGTGACCAGTGATGACTATTTAATGAAGCCAAGGAGGGTTTTGAAAGTCCTAGACACAGGAGTTCCATGCGTTTTCTGGTGAAAGACATCCATGCTTATGGGAGGGTAATGCATCCATTGGGACACAAAAGTTCTGCATTGGGAACCCTCCCACATCTTGTTCTGTTCACCTCTTGGTTAATATCCTTTTAATGCTGTAATAAATATAGCATTTACATGACTTCTGTTAAGTCTTTCTGGAAAATTACTGAATCCAAAGGAGAAATGAGAGGCAGTAGGTCAGAAATGAGAAGCTTGAGGGAACAGAGAGGAGAACCCTTCAGCTTGTAGCCAGCAGGTTAAAAGTAAAGGAACCTGGGACACCTCTGAGTTTGCAGCTGCTGTCCTCATAGAGCAGTGGGGAAAGCCCGCGTTGTAGCTGGCAGGCCAGCAGTGAGGGTGGCAACTGGACTCTCAGAGTTACAGCTGGCCTCTGTCTATTTGGCAATCTGAAGGACAATGCCATTTCAACTCGTGAGATCTGACTCAAGAGTAGGTATTTACATTTCTCAAAAGAAGCTCTGAGTGGGCAGCTGATGCCAAAATTGAACAAAGAACAAGAAAAAAATATGTATTTCATATTTTATATTTGACTAGTGTGTAAATGGGTTAGCATATTAAAAGCCATAAAAATCTTTTGACTACAATGATTTTACTTTAACCTAGAGTTTTCCTAATTTTTATGTTTATGTAAGAAATTCTTTTTACTAGAAATTACTTTTTTTTTTTTTTACTATAAAGGCAACCCCAATTTTCCTTGTCTTTTCATCTCCAGAGTAATATATCATATGGTAATCTGACTCAAAATGCCCCATGCCAGTCCATCTCATCTCTCCAATGCCTAATATGTCAATATTTATGCGTTCCATTTCTT